TGACAGCAAATGTACAAGAGAGAACGGCCAGACTAACAGATCAATTTTATAAAAGTTATTAGGGAACCTGACGTGTAAATAAAGGTTACAAAAGTGACTTTGTGATTGTGGCGACATTCTGTTGAAGCAGAAAAGATTCAAAAGGCCAGTCTCTTACTGACAAATAAGATAGGTTGTGTAAATGTCCCTCAAGCACGAGGGACTTTTTTAATGCATAATTAAAGTACACATAACTTGACAAAAGAGTTAATTTGAGACTTGTTCTAGAGATGAGGTAAACTGTTCCACTGAAACTCAAGCTGCTATTTTTTCAATTCATCACTGCTTTAGATAAAGGTTTTCAAAATTAGATACTTTAATACCATGTATATTTTTTGCACACTATTCGTAACCACTCTGATCATACTCCCTTCCTCATTACTCCACGAGGAAGTAAAGACCGGTCATCAATGATAGAGAACGTATGAACTGAATCATTATTCTCTATCCGCTTCACGCTCAGAAGGGAATATCACGACTCATCATCGTGGTTAGCGAGACCAAACACTTTAGAAACACATTTCTCAAGTTAGAAACTATAGAAATGATCCCTGAAAGTATAGTCTTAACGAAATTCTGGGTCGAAGCAAGAAGTGATTCTCGGGAACGCCGTTCTCACTCACGGTTTATGTCAACTGTTAAACATGACCTAAACGATCAGTCCGCGAGGAGTTAGTAGACTATAACTTTTACAGAGCTACGATTATGCAAGTAGATCTAAAAGTGTGGCTAAAGCTGTTTATTTAAGTTTTAAAATCCAGTTTCCAGTCCCACAATGCTTTGCGAAAGCAATCGCATACATCACTATACGAATTTATTTATTTTCACTCAAAAATCTGTAACAACCGTTATTTTTATTGTTTCCCTTAAATATAAAGTTGTGAATAACATAAAAATTGAAAGACACAATGCGTTGATCATGGAAATAGCAGTAACCTTAAGTTTAAATAAATGTTGTGTGGTGCATCGCTTATTATACTCCTGACATGAATCTGGCAAAGAGGAAGCGTTCCGCTTAGAAACCACTATTACAATTTGTTTAATTAAAAAAAGTTTAAACTTGTAACAATTGGTTAAAATATTAACGATACATAAATCACAAAAAAGAGACACGTCTATTGTTTTTTCTTTTGTAATATAAGACGTCGAATCTGTACATGTAGCACCGCAGCTACCCTTGTTACGACACACGAGGGCAGCATTTCATTGGCTAACAGAGTTTAATCGTCACGCGATATTCAATGTTTAGAAGACTGCCAAAATTTATATTTCGGTTAATTCTTGTTTAAAATAATAAAAATAAAAAGAACTCCGTTACCTTAGTACACAACATCCTAGAAAAACTCACTAGGCGTCGAATGACTTCATCACAGACGCCTAACTTTAACTGAAAAAGCTAGGTGAAATTGTTTCATCTGCAACTAAAAGCAACACACTAAGGGCGAAAACTAAAATAAAAGTGCGCCACAAAAGGCTCAGTCGACAGTATTTTTAACTACATTTTAAACAGACTGTAGCTAATTATCGGCTAACATAAATGTTTTCACCCAGAGACACCACGCTTCCATCTCAATTTTCTTTCTATAAAAATATTTTTAATCATCTTTGAAACAAACTACTCACCAGCATGTTGTCCAGCAGCACATTCGCTTTGTCTTAAAGAAACAGTCTCAATTTTTAAAAGCTTTAAAATAAAGCCAGATAGCCAGGAGACTCCCCAGTTATTAACGTTTTGTTTTGTTGCGCATGCTCAGGGACAGTGTTTTCTTAAAATAGTTTATTCGTGCATGAAATTAATTAAACAAACGCACTCGTTACATTTAAATGATCGTTTTAAATATCAGAACAATTTATAATACATTAAGACAATTCAACTTGATGTTCCAATTATCAGACATATGTCATGCTAAGACAACGTGTAGTCATCAATGCATAAGTTTTGTATTTGAAATTAAAAGCTCAAAAACTCGTGAATTGCTTTGGAAAAGGGGGGGGGGGGGGTGGATCAAAGGCACCTATGTGTGCATCTACTTATGAATACTAGGAAACCAGGAAACACGAAAGAGGCAAAAACATTCACCCTGAAAAAATATTGAAATACATTTTTCATACCAAGACCTGCTGTAGTATTAAGATAATAAAGCATTCCTAACTGCAACAGTAGTGTGAGTCATACTGTTCGTGCAACAAAAAGTAAGGGGTTAGATGGAACTACTGCTTAACATAATATAAATGAGTTGAGGACATTACAGATCCACAACATATTCAATTAATTATATAGTTTCAGCAACATGCAGGTTTCATATTGTATAACTGTTATCAGTTTTATATGGATGTTACTTTAATCCCCTAGAACTCATTTAAAGATTCTTGTGCTCCTATAGATTGCAGTGCTGTAGCGCTAAGAACTAACAAAACAAGTTTTAATAAATGCAATAATTAAAGTAAAGAAAGCAACTTTTGGGCTTATAGATTTCAGGGTGTCAGTGTTAACCAAAAGTTCTCCTCCTTATTATAAAAAACAAAATGACAAAGTTCCCACCATTGTGGAGGTATCGCGTTAGAACAGACATTAAATTTCTATAGTAATAAATCAACATTTAACTACATGTAAATCATACCCAGGATAACTGACATCAGATCAATGGATGGATGGATGACTGGAAACAGGGCAACAAAAAAAAAAGAAAAAAAGAATGACACTTATTATCATCACAGAGAGAATCAGTCGGCTTTGTGCGGTCATGCTTGCAGTAATCACATATGTACAGTCTGAAGGTCGACAGGAGAACTGCTCCACAAATACTGGCTCCTCCTGATTAATTAACGTCGAAGCTCCATCAGATTTCGTCCACTCTCTATGGCTCCTTGTACCTCCTCCACAACAGGTGCACCTGTCTCCGGGCCTCAGAGCGAACACATCTGGAGAAGGAGGTGTGCTGTCTGCCCTTCACCTGGTAACCACAGGGCGATCGGACGCAGTTCACTTCAACAACTCACTACCTTTAAACTTTATTCAAAATGTACAGTCAACTAAAATATGGCAACTACTGGGACACAGTGGCAGTTTTTAAAGTATCACAGTGGAGTAAAATGCCCTCAGATATTACTGAAGATATTCAGCAACCTACTGCTCCTACTCTTACACATACAGGTTCACAAAATATTGTACAGTATACTCTATGAATTATATGAAAACCCATTCTGTAGATACATTGTAATAAGGCTAAACAGTTCAGGTGAATCAGACACGCAAAAGAAGTCATAATCCAGACTGAATTCAAGTCAAGAAACTACCTGCAACTCTAGAAATAACAACGAACAAACTCCTTGAACTGTAGCTGTTAGTGATACTTATCTGCTTGCCAGCTCCTTCTTCAGACAGGACCTGAAGGAGGTAGCACGCTCCACAGCTTTATAGCCCTGAGATGTGTGTAGACAGCCAGAGTGAGGCAGGAAGACAGGAAAACAATCGCAAAAGTGGTGGGCACATGGAAGGTGAGAAAAACAAAAGTATAAGTGTGGTAAATTCATGACAATAGGGAAAAAAGCATGGGTTAGAAAGGAGATGAAGAGAGAGGTACATCAGCAAAGTAAGGACAAAAGAGAACACTGTTAAAAAGCCAAGACAGTGAGGCCAAGACAGCATCAAAAGGGACATATGGGACCATATAAAGTGCAACATCCAGGCCTACAGTGGTGCCAAGTTTATTATCACATGACAACCTCTGTAGAAAAAAAGGATCTGAGCAGTGTTATTGCATCAAAATCCACCACTGGGGGGCAGTATGGCCTTTTCTGACAGCATCACCAAATTGCTTATAGGTGATTTCCAACATACAAGCCTGCAAATTATCTTCCATTTAAGCTTTTTTTGTTACATTCCTGATGCTTACTAAAAGTCTTTCATCAATATTTTTAACCCTGTTATCATGTGTGTATGTTAAATGCATTTTTCTTTTGTTTTGGGTAACTGTTGATTACCTTAACTACTTGACTGCAACTGAAGAGCACAAACAGTCATGAGTAAAGGATGGCTTAGTTGTACCAGCAGAACTTCTTCTACAAAAAAGGTTTAAGAAACAGCTGAATAACAATAATAATTGTAGTTTTGGATTTCCTGTTTTTTTGTTACTCTGTGACACTAAATCCTGGCACAGGTAAAGCTAGTTTGCATTTAAGGTAAAGACTGATTTGTTATTCTATAATGAAACAGACAATAAGAAGCTCCCATGTTTTAAATTTCAGCTCTTCTTTTTTGAATCTAAAATGCTCAAGAAATAACACATCCTATAGTTTTAAATCCCTGTAATTTGTTTATGTGGCTAACTTTGAAATTGTAACTCCACCTCGACCAAGTTTTTGGGTAATGCTGGATGTCAGAGTTTATACTTGAGAACCCAGATGCTTGGACTACACCGTTCTTCTGGTCCTCTAGGTGCTACCAAAACAGCTTTGACCCACTAAAGCAAGGCGTACACACAACCCGGTATCATGGCATAGCGTGTAATAGACACGCCGGTCCACAGTGTCCATTTCACACTTTGCCTCTCCAAAGCGTGAAATGGGGCACGCATGCAGAAGCTGCAGTAAGCTGCAGTACCAGTAGAGGGAGATATTTCATTTCAGGCCAACATGAAAATAATCAAAGTAAAGCATTTAAAGAGACATTACTAATGCATTCATGAGCAAATTAGCCACTTAGCTTAATAATTTCTGGCATTGTGGGAGCTTAGAATGTACTTTATACCTTTCTTGGTCACTGTGGACTTTATGGCTTTACATATATTTTCTTCCCTTGTTGCAACTTGCGTCTCCATTTCATGCTTTAGAGAGGTAAAGTGTGAACTGGACACAGCAGTCCATTGTGTCTATTACACACTTTGCTGTCATAGGTTGTGAAGGCGCCTCGTGGTATCTGGAAGTTCAGCAGCAGATCTTTTAGGTTCTGTAGGTTGTTTGTGTTAATGGAGTATGTGCCCATGTGCCCATGTGCGGTTCAGTTGGGCTCAGGCATGCTACACATGTACAGTTCATCTGTAGTTTACATCTGGCCATAGAACTCCCAAACTATAGCTGCCTTTGGGTGCTCAGTACTCAGGCAGAGCATAAGGCAACTGGTCAAGTGGGAGTACATCCTAAATCTTAATGAGAAACCTGTCTCTTTGTAAGTGCTCTGGAGCCCACTCGACCTCAGACCTTTCTGCGAAGGGAGGTATATTTCTCAAAAGTGGTTCCTTTTTCGTGTCCTGGTGACTGGCTGTGCTTCAAACTTTTTCTAAACAAAGATTTTTCAGTTGGAGCTGAGTGCACTTTTTCTCAAAAAGAAGGAAGTTCTTTACCCTGGCTCCCCTGTGCAGCCGGTCCTTCATGATACCAATGAACTCTTTGTAGGACAGCTGGTCATCGTGATCGACATCGAAGATCTTGAAGATGGTGTTTACAAGGTGACGTGTCAGCTTGAGCCCTGTGGCCACATACACCGCTCTGGCAAACTCATCTATCAGGGGAGAAAGTAAAAATGACTTTGATCATTTGTCTAAG